GCGGCTGCCCCCGCTGCGCTGGCTGCCCCGGTACCGCTGGCGGGCCTGGCTGCTGGGGGATGCGGTGGCCGGAGTGACCGTGGGCATCGTGCACGTGCCCCAGGGTGAGAGGCCCCAATAGCAGCCTGTCAGGGGCCCAAGCTCTAGAGGGCTTTGGGTTGGCATGGGGCCTGGGACCTGGGGCCTGGGACCGGGAGCGAAGGTGGGTTAGTGTGGCTGAGGGTTCGGCGACCCGGATCTGAGGCCAAGTTCTGGCCAAGGACTGTGGACCTCCGTCAGATCCCCACCCTCCAGCTCCCCTCATCTGCGCAATCCTGCGAGAAGTCTTGGACACGTTCTGGCTCAGGGAACTGGAGAGAGGCCCGATGCCTGCCCCCCAGGACTCAGCCGACACGGATCTCTGAACTTGTTCGCCCCACGACCTCCCACCGAGGTCCCTTAACCCCTCAGTTCCCGCATGTGGCGTGATTTAGCGTCCCGGTGCCAGCCTCCCAGAGTGTGGGAAAGGAACGGGGTCCTGGAGGCTGGGAACCCCCACCCCCCCACCCCACACACTGAAGATCAATCATTTTTCCCATTACTCCCCCAGGCATGGCTTTTGCTCTCCTGACCTCCGTGCCCCCAGTATTTGGACTCTACACTTCTTTTTTCCCTGTCCTCATCTACACCTTGTTGGGTACTGGGAGACATCTGTCCACGGGTGAGTGACCCAGTGACTTCTCTCCTCTGTGGGGGTGAAATGAACAGGGGTTTCAGGCTTCCAGTTCTTATAATCTATCTCTTATTCCCCTCTTCACATCCCCCACCATCCTGTCCACCCCTTCCGCTACCCTGCTATGATCCTCTGACCTAGGCAATGCTTGCTGGAGGTGCTAAGTCGGTGCAAAGAGGCGGGAGTTTACTCAGACTTTTCCTCCCCATGAAATTTGGCTAAAACGAATGTCCCTTAAGACTTGGAAGAGGGGAGAGAATATGCACTGTCACCCAAAGGAGCAAGCAGTCTGCAGGGCATGTGCAAGAGGGGGCTGATGCAGTTGGGGGCAGTTTTACAGTGGGTGCTCCCTTCTTTCCTCACCAGGGGTTCTGGGCTTCTCTTGGTTCCATGGTCTTCACCTGAGCAGCAGCCTTCTAGGACAGGGGGCCTGATGGCAACATGGGGGGGGGGGCGGGGCTGGGAGTTGCTGCGCCCAAACAGCACAGCTGGCGATTTCTGCGTTTGTCCCGGGGCCCTAGGAACTTTCGCGGTACTCAGCCTCATGACAGGCTCCGCCGTGGAGCGGCTGGTGCCCGAACCTCTCGAGGGGAACTTGAGCGGAATCGAGAGGGAACAGTTGGATGCTCAGCGGGTTGGTGCCGCGGCGGCCGTGGCCTTCGGGAGCGGGGCACTGATGGTGAGGGAGGACCTTGGGGGAGGACTCTGGGGGATCCACGCTGGGGACCATGGAACTGGGCCAGGGGAGGAGGCGGCGGGGACAAGTCTCCAGCACCGGTCTGGGCGGGAGAGGTGCCCGGAGAAGCTGGCGCACTGCACTCTGGCTGGTCCGCTCCTCCTCCAGTGATGAGTGATGATGGCGCATCTTCTCTCCTGCAGCTGGGGATGTTCGCGCTGCAGCTCGGCATCCTGGCCACCTTTCTGTCGGAACCTGTGGTCAAAGCGCTGACCAGCGGGGCTGCCCTACACGTGCTCGTGTCCCAGCTGCCCAGCCTTTTGGGGTTGCCCCTCCCGCGCCAGATCGGCTGCTTCGCTCTCTTCAAGGTGGGGGTGGGAGAAGAGCGAAGAAGCTTCTGGCTGTCCCGGGAAGACAGGAACCCGAAAAGGAAGGAATGGCTGCGAGTGGAGGGATAGTGTGTGGCGGGGGCGGAGAAGAAGTCAGAACCATGTGGCTGAATGAGGGTCGCTACGGAGGTGAAAGCTCTGATGCGAGCCAGGAGAGAGGGCCTCGCCTTGGTCTGGGGGGTCCGCGCTGAGGGCAGTCGACCTGGCTCGGGGCCCTCTGCTCACCGCCCCTGCCCGCAGACGCTGGCCGCCGTGCTGACGGCGCTGCCCCGGAGCAGCCCCGCCGAACTGACCATCTCCGCACTCAGCTTGGCGCTGCTCGTGCCGGTGAAGGAACTGAATGTGAGATTTCGAGACAAGCTACCCACCCCGATCCCAGGGGAAATCGTCATGGTGAGGATGGCTCCTGGGTCCCGGCCTCTGGCACCGCACAAACCCTGCCCATCCTGTAGGAACTGGCCGCTGCCGCCCCCTCGTGGAGTGCAGAGAGGTCACAGATGAGAGGCCTTGCTTATGCGGTACTTCTCCAGGCCTCTTCCCGAAACACTTTGACGCTCCGAAATCCCCCATCCACACGTTTCCCTTCTCTCCTGAAGCCTGCTCCGGAGCTCTCAGAAAGCCTTCTTCCTCCTTACAGCGGTCCCACAGAACCTCCACTCCCTCTCTCTCCTCACCCACGGCTCATCTCCCTCCCCACATCCACCTACATTTCTCTTTCTCCCCAGCTAATTAAATATTCCACATCCCCACAGATAACCCATATGTCCCTAGATGTAACCCAGCTTCCCTACTTGGAATGGCTTGGTTATATTTCTTGATATACACCATCGCTTATAGCAGCTCTCTCTGATTTCCTCCAGTCCATCTCTCTCCATAAGTCCAGGCATACATCATCCTCATTTCCGTCCCCACGCTCCCTCACTCTAAATCAGTTGTCGGGCACTCATCCCAAACACATCCCAGCTCCCCCAGCTGCTGGGCTCCTGCAACCATGGGACCGGCGTTACAATCCTCTCTCATGTCCAGCCCCTTCTAGCCTCTGCCAGGAGCCTATCTCCTCCCATGCCCACATTTCCTCTCTTTCTCAGGTGCTTCTGGCCTCTGTGCTCTGCTTCACCTCTTCCCTGGACACAAGATACAATGTCCAGATAGTGGGATTGCTGCCCGGAGGGTAAGAGATAATGAAAAGACACCAACTTTCTTTTTTCACAACTCTGTCTCTCAACACCTCCTCCTCTCTCTTCCCCATAGCCTCCTTATACCCCAGCCATCCTCACCACGGATCCCTCTCTCTTTCTAGATTTCCTCAACCTCTCCTTCCCAGTCTAGCTGAGCTGCCCAGGATTCTGGCTGACTCGCTGCCCATGGCACTGGTTACCTTTGCTGTGTCCGCCTCCCTGGCCTCCATCTATGCAGACAAGTACAGCTACACTATTGACTCCAACCAGGTGTGACTTTGAGTGAGGACCCCAGCCTCATTCCAGGGACAACTCCCTCATGTGACTCCCCACTCCCCACACATGACTTGGTCTCTCTCCTTTTCATCTCACTGCATCCCTCCAGGAGCTCTTGGCGCATGGGGTCTCCAACCTCGTCTCCTCCCTCTTCTCTTGCTTTCCCAACTCGGCCACGTTGGCCACGACCAGCCTACTAGTGGATGCTGGTGGGAACACACAGGTAAGAGCCTGTCCTTGGATGAGAAGAAGGGGGAAGAGGCATCCAGTTTGGGTGGTGGTGGAACAGGTGGAAGACTGGTAGATACCCTGGTGGCAGCTCTATAGAGGAGGATGGGAATCTGTGAGGGGAGGTGAGTGTGGGGATGGGACTATCTAGGTAGGAGAGATTGAAGAGAAGAAATCTCCATTAAGACCTTTATAGACTCTAAGCACTGAAAAAGGTACCCTTTATGTAGTTCAAAATAAGAACAATACTAATATGGAAGATAAACTTTAAAAACAAAATTCTGATTTTTTTCCTTGTGAGGACATTTTCTTTTAAAAAGAAATATCATATGTCAAAGTCTCTCCCTAATATTTCTGGCTTCCCATACTTTCCTGGTGCCCTAAGCATCTGTTTAGTCTGCTTTTAGGTTAATCTACCAGTGGTTTTTTAGGGACACTGAACTACATCTTGGGGGAATCTGGCAAATGATAGGCATTTAACTGGGGGAGAGGAAAGGTAGGTGTGAGTGGCAGAATATCAAGAAGGGAGTTGAGGGGTGAGGAATATCTGTGTGGCGGTGTGGAGGGGATTTGGGAGGAGGGAGCCTTCCAAGGATGGCGAAGCAGACGGTGGGTGGGGTTCCCTCCCTTCTTTGCTTCTGTCCCTCCATCCCTCCTCCCCTCCAGCTGGCAGGCCTTTTTTCCTGCCTGGTTGTCCTGTCTGTGCTGCTGTGGCTGGGGCCCTTCTTCTACTATCTGCCCAAGGTAAGCAGCAGAGAAGGTGGAGGGATGGCTGGGGGGTGGGTGGCTCTATCTCAGTATGCTGGGGAGGTCAGCTCACCTCCTCTGCCCCAAGGCTGTCCTGGCCTGCATCAACATCTCCAGCATGCGCCAGATGTTCTTCCAGATGCAGGAGCTTCCACAACTGTGGCGCATCAGCCGCGTGGACTTTGTGAGAAATGGCAGCATTACCCTCAGATTTACCCTCAGATTGCCCCTCCCATCTTCCCCAGAATCCCCAACCCCTGCCCTGGATCAAAGCTAAGTGTCCCAGTCCTAAGTTCTGCACCCAACCCACCCCCAACATGTATACCTCCTCATCCCTTTATTCAGAGACAAGATGAAGGGTGGAGCTTGAACCTCTTCAGACTTGAATATTTATAACTCCCCAGGTGGTTCAAGGGGTAGTTACATCTGGGGGGAATCCCCATTATGTCAGTCCTGCCCCCTCCATCGTCCTTTCCACTTTCTCCTGAGCCATCCCTCCCCATTACTTGCCCAGGTAGTCACTGCCCCTGGACCCCTTTTCCTGGCAGTGATGGCCTGGCATTCCTTCTGGGCATTTCACTCCCATCTATGTCCTGCAGGCTGTGTGGATGGTCACATGGGTGGCTGTAGTGACCCTGAGCGTGGACCTGGGTCTGGCTGTAGGTGTGGTCTTCTCCATGATGACTGTGGTCTGCCGCACCCAGAGGTGGGAGGAGAGATGAGGGGAGTCGAGAGGAGGGGAGAGAACAGAGTGCTTGGGGTGACTCTCCAGCCAGCTCAGGCTGGGAATCTGACCCCAGCTTCCTGCCTAGGGTCCGGTGCCTGGCACTTGGACTGGCCGAGGGGACAGAGCTCTACAGGCCACTCCGAGAGAGCCACAAGGTGGGTGGGCTACAGCCAAAGCAGGAAGGGGAGATTGGACTGGAATGTTTCACTGACCCTCTGGCCCCTTAGCTCCTCCAGGTCCCAGGGCTCTGCATCCTGAGCTATCCAACACCACTCTACTTTGGAACCCGTGGGCAGTTTCGCCGCATCCTGGAGTGGCATTTGAGGCTTGGAGAAGGAGGCCAGGTGAGGGATTTGGTCAAAAGGAGCGTATGGCTTCTTTGGGGGTGGGAGGCAGGTGGGTGTTCTGGGGGGGTCATTGTGCTCAAGGGGTACATGTTCATGCTTGTGTCTCAGAGGTGGTGACTGCCCTTCTCTACTCACAGCTCACTCCAAAGACAGACAGCCCACCTGATGCAGGTGAGATGGGATGACAAGGAAGGAGATTTGGGCACGACCCGTGGAGGCATCAGGGTACTCTTGCTTTCTCCCATCCTAGTTGCTGAGCCTGTCAGAGTGGTGGTCCTAGACTGCAGTGGTGTCACCTTTGCAGATGCTGCAGGGGCCAGAGAAGTGGTTCAGGTGAGGGAGAGGGTAGGTTAAGGAGACAGTCCCCTTCTCATCCCATGAATACTCTCTGATGTAGGATTTAACCCCTCTCCCCCCACCCCCACAGCTGGCCAGCCGATGCCGAGATGCTGGGATCCACTTTCTCCTGGCTCAATGTAATGGTGAGAGGTGGAGGGTGGAGGGACCTGGAGACTGGGGAATGACCAGACATTTGGGGGGAGGGAAGAGGACACAGTGTGGATGGAGGGCCTGAGAGCCTGGCCCCCCTCTCCACACAGCCTCAGTGCTGGGGACGCTGACCCAGGCAGGACTCCTGGACAGAGTGACCCCAGAACAGCTGTTTGTGAGTGTCCAGGATGCAGCTGCATATGCCCTGGAGAGACTGGTGAGGAGGCAGTAGCAGCGGGAGTGGAAGCCAGGAGGTGCTGGGCTATGGCGAGGGAGGTGTGAGTCAGTGGCTGAAGATCCAGGCAGAGGGATTGCGAAGAGGGCTGAGGAGGAAGATGAAGGAGGAAGGGGTAGGGGTGAAATGATCAGTTGATTTAAGACTAAGCCAGAGAGACTGGGTCCAGCTGTGGGTGAAGAGCTGAGGAACTTAGGTTCCAAGGCAGGTGGTGTGCCCCTCAGAGGTCTGGCAAATCTTGGGTGAGGGAGGGGGACAGCTGACCTATTTCTGACATGTCCCTTCCCTTTCCCAGGAGCTCACTGGTCCAAAGACTTGCACAGTGTGGGTCTGACCAGGTCACTCAAATTGTGGAGGGCCCCAACAGTGCATGTGTGAAGAGGACCATGGCCCCTGTGCCCCCTTATTTAATGTAACTAATAAAACAAAGCTGAGAGCCTCTGGATTCATGAAGTGAGTCTGGGTGTCTGCACTCGGACCCTTGATGCCCCTTCCTCCATGCCCACAGCACTGCAGAGACACAACTGAAAATGGCTTTCACCTGTGTGTTCACCAGCCCCTACAGCAGCTCCAGAGTACCAGTTTTCTCTATGGGGTGGGGCTGCAGCCGCTGCAGATTCCTGGATCCAGAGATGGGGGGGCCCAGGCCTGGGAATAGATGCTGGGGGCTTCCCCATCCCCGTAGTCCCAAGGAGATGACAGGAGAGTGTTTTCACTTTAGGTTCTTAGAGTCCCAGTGGGCTCTTTGGCACTTGGAAAGCAACGCCCCAATTCCTGCCCCACGAGAAGGGGGTGGGAGGAGGACTTGGCACTGGCTGTGGGATGAGTTATGGCTCCATCATGCCCCTGGGCACTCACAGAAAGGCGGAGTGTCACCAGGACAAGCCCCTATTTGGGATCAAGTTCTGAAGGAGACTGGGGACAGTCAGTGGAGTGGTCACTGGCCGGTGGGGTTTGCTAGAAATCCTGGCAGGGACAAGGAGGCAGGCCCAGCCTGACAGCTGGAAGGCCAAGGGTGGCCATCACTCTGAGGTCATGCACTGGAGCCGATGTTTGAAGAAGAGCAGGCGGTGTTTGGCCACCTGACTTTCATCTAGTGATCCCGGGTAACGGTACTGGGCATAAGTCTCTGCCCCAGCATCCCTTGATGTCCAAGGCAACTTCAACTTGGATGCATGATCCACAACGACGTCTGAGCAGGAGCCCACCTGAAGAGAACCAAGTCCATCCAGGAAGAATTCTGGGGGTGGAGGGAAGGGAAGTGCACAATGAAAGGTCTTGAGGATGCACAGGGCCAACAGTTAAGGGAGAGCTGAGACTGGGATACGGAGAGTGCTTATGCAAAGACTATTTCTAAGGATCTTGGGCATGTAAGTCAACCCTTTTAGGTCTTAGTTTTACTCTCGTATAAAGTGGGGTCAATATACTTACCTTGTTTTGAAAACGGACTCCCCCTACCCCACCCCCAACACACACGCCCAGAGGTTCAATAAATGCTGAATGGACTGCTCCAAGGTGGTAAGAACCAGAGAATACGGCTGGGAGTGGGACAGAAGTGGAGGTGACAGTGGTGGGGAAGTTCAAGGCAGTTCCAGGTAATGGTCAAGTTTAAGTGATAATCGGGGCCAGGAGAGGGGCGCTTTCTCTCTCTCTTGCCCTGGGACAGGTTTTGGTAAGTCTTCGTAGAACTGCTCTGGGGACCCCGTGGCAGCATTGGGCCCCGCGAGGATGGGCGGGGAGCAGTACCCAGGGCCCTTGGCTACTGGCTGCACGGAGCCTGGCCCAGCGCCCCGCGGCGTCCCTGCCGGGCTTGGCCAGGAGGGGGCGCCACTCACCTAGGTGAGCCACGCGGCTGAAGCGCGGGTCGAAGCCGACCTCGCGCACCTTGTCGGTCCGCGCCAGGAAAAAGTTGACCACGCCGTCTGTGACCACGCAGCCTGGGAAGCCGACGAGCTCGTGGTGGAAGCCGCGCCTCTGCCGGAGGCAGTTCCCGCGGCCTGGAGCGCCCGGCTCCACGCTCAGCAGCTGCCGGTAGGTGGTGGCGAAGCCGGAGATCTCGCGCACTGCGCCGCCCACCTGCCCGGGTGGGAGGAGGGCTCCAGGCTGGGCGCGGACCGGAAGGGGGTAGGTCTGGGCTCCCTCTCCCCGCGGATGGTTCCCCTGCCTCGTGCTCTCCTGCTCCACCCCTGCAGGACCCAGACAGTCTCCCAGGCTCCCGTTCGTCGTCCTCTCCCATCCCAGGGCTGGCTGCTCTCGGTTGGGTCTCCCCGACGCGGCCTTGGCCTGCTGGGCGCCCTCCTCCCACCGCGCATCCCGTGGCCCCTCCCATACCAGGTCCAACGGTGTCCGCTCCAGCACGTCCACAAGCCTCTCCAGCCGCGTCCGCGCCGTGAAGATGAAGTCGTCGTCCACCCACAGCACGTACTTGGTGGTTACTTGAGATACAGCCAGGTTCCGGCCTGCGAACCAGCCCTGGGGAAGGGTAGGTACGGTTGGTGATGCTGTTGAGATAGGACAGAGCCCTCTGCCACCTTTCCGCCTCTCTCCCGACCCCTCTCAACAGCCTGTGTCCCACTCCAAACTTTCAAGTAGTTACGAATGGCCGGGAGCTAGGTAAAAAAAAAAAGTGCCTTTTTCCACTGTGAGAGGCTCTGAGTCTGTGTTCTGGGGGAGGGTCTTGGAATGCGTTTAATTCATGCGTACATTCATTCATTCATCTACTGTTCACTGAGCGCCCATTAGGTGCTAAGCACCATTCTAAGAATGCAACTCGAGTGAGACAGCACTCCCATGCAGCTCCCATGGAGCTTACATTCCAGAAATCCTCATGCTGAACAGCCACCTCAGTGATTCTGAGGCAGATAATCCTGGAATCACTACTCTGGACACAGCCGACTGAGGGTGCGCCCCCTCCCGGTGCCCCGTGGAGCATGGTTCAGCCTAGCCCGCTGCGCACCTTGCCAAAAGGCATAAGATAGTGCTCAATGTGGGGGCCGCTAATGCTCTCTGGCTTGTCGCTGTCGTCGGCGATGACCACTGTGACTGTCGGATAGAAGCGGCGGATGCTGGCGATGAGTGCTCGTAGCCGATTGTAACGAAGGAAGGTCTTAGTGGCAATGGTGACCAGAGCGCTGATGTTGTACTGGGCTGGGAGCCAGGGGCAGGGTTAGATGCAGAGGAGAGTGGGGAGTGAGGAGTAGGAAGACCTCTCCCAGGACCGCCCTCTCCCAACTTTCTCCCCATCAGGGCTGGATCTATGTCCCTGAGCACACCAGTCTCACCTCCCTGGGGTAGAGACCCAGGTGGGTACAGCCGAGGGTTGGGGGGGTGTCTTATGCGGATGGTGAAGGCAGCTTCATACCCCTCGGTGGAGAACCGGACTGGGAAGAAAGGAGATGAGATGTGGCCCCCAGGGCTTGGACAACATTCTCTTTTCAGTGAATCAATACTTAAGTGCCTACCCTGTATATCACCTTCCTAGGCCCTGTTAGACAAGAACACAAGGTTCTTATCCCCATGGAACTTACATTCTAATAGACGGGAGAAAGATGATAAAAGACCCAATTAAAAGCTAACTTTTACTGAGCATTTACTATGTGCCAGGCACTTTTTTAATTACCTTAACTATGTGAACTCATTTAATCCCCACAATAACCTATTAAGTAGAGTCCTACTGTAGAAAAAGAAGGCACAGAGAAATTAATTTATCCATGATTATCCAACTAAAAGCAACAAGGCTAGATAGGAACCTAGTCAGTCTGATTCCAGACTAAGTAAAAAAGAAAATTCAGATACTGATAAGTATTGAATAGAAAATAAGACAAGTAATGTGATAGTGAAGAGGAGCCATTTGAGCTGAGATCCAAATGACAAGAAGGAGCCAGCCATGCCAAAATCTGGGGAAAGAGCATTCTAGGCAGAGGGAACAGCAAATGCAAAGACCCCAAAGTGGGGGCAGGTTTGGTGTAGAAGCCTTGGAGAGAAGCAGGAGGGCTGTGTTATGCGCCTTCTGCTAGAGGAGAAATGGAGACTCTGGGAGATAAAGCTCTTTGCCCTCTAGTAAGTGGTGAGTTGGGAATAGAGCTTGAGTCTTCTGGCTCCTGGGGCAGGTCACTTCCTGGGGCCCTCACGGTTGGCCTGACAGGGGGACACACCCAAGGCTTGGGTTTCCCTCTGGCCTACTCCAGCCTCCAGATGAACAAAGGCCCCTTCTCTCCCTCCTTGGTCCTGTTGGCTCAGCTGAAATGCCCATTGTGTAGCTGGGCAGCTCTGGCCATCGCCCTAGTGACTCCCACACCCTCTGTCATTTGCCTGCTCCTCCCTTTCTGGTTTCTCTGTGTTCACCCAGCCTGCCACTGCCTCCGCCCAGGCTTCGCACCTGTGTCTGCTGTGTTTGCCTGGTAGCTTCGGCTGCTATAAGTGACCAGTTGCAGCTGCCGATTGAGTTGGTCCAGCCCTGGGCTGGCAAGGGTGAGATCTGGCTGCCCCTCTCCAGTGAGAGTCACTCCAGTCACTTCCCCTGCCACGTCCCAGGTGCCCAAGGAGGCAGTCAGGTTCACCTGGGAGAGGGGATTGCAGAGTGCAGGGTTAGGCCCCAGACCCACCTCTTGCTTCTCTGGTTTCTCCTTTGGCAGCCTCTTGCCCTCCCAGTATCCTTAATGCCCACCTTGCCTCCCTGCCCTCCTGTTTCTTCTTACCTGGTATACCTCTTGAACTGAAGCGGCCTGCAGGCTCAGGCCTGGGAGGAAGGAAAGGGGACCAGAATCACAGACAACCTAGAATTCCTCACTTTCTCTCCCCTCTTTCATCGCACACAACACAGAACTTCTCACCCATCCCTCCTGTTGAGGCCACAGCAGGGCACACTGCAGGGCATAGCCTAGAGTAATTGATTTTTTCTCCTTTCCATTAAAGCAATAGCTTGTGCTATCCACCTAACCTTTAGTCAGTCAGTAAAGAATAGATCATTCTTCCCAAACATCTCCAGTCACTGTCTTCTGCAAATCCTGACAACCCTAGAGTCCCTTCTGTCCCCACCTCCCACCCCATGAGCCCACCTGACCTCAAGTCTCCCTTTCATCAGAAGTCTCCCACTTCCCATTTGAATCTTCCCTCATTCTTCCCCACCCAGCCTGGGCTCTGCCACCCCCACAGTGGCTTAGGTCATCCCCTAGGACCATTCTCCTACCTGGCACCAGGATGCTCCTGAGGGGCTGGACCTCCACACCCTGCAGTGGGTACTGTAGTGGGGAGTTAGCAGGGGCTATGAGCAGCTGGTCGGCAGCAGACTGGCTCCTGGCAGCGAAGGTTGGGGGGGGGTCAGGGGAGGAGTCAGGGGGAGGGGGGGCTCTCCCTCCTGCCATACCCACCCTCGTGGCTTCCCACTGCTGTCCACCTGCAGAGTCATGCCCTCCTTTCCTGCTGATACCTTGAAAGGAAGGCCTGAAATTCCTGCTCCCTTGAGGCAGAGGCAGCCCTCAGCTCCTCAGGGTCAAAGGCCTTGGTGAGGTCAATGGCTTGGACCTGCCTCTGGAAGGGGAGGTGAAGGCTTCCTCCGCTGGACTCACAGCTGCAGTTGTTTGCAGACAGCAGCCTGGATCCCGGAAGAAGGGAGGAAGGGTTCTCAGAGCCAGCCATGCAGCTCCACTCATCCTCCCAAAACATTTACACAGTGCCTCACACCTTGGCTCTTCAACCCTGCCCATCCAGTCTGTCCCCTGAAACATTGCTCTTCAAATAGTCCCCGGGAGTAGGAACTATCAATGGGATGACACATCCCTAAATCTGGATTTTACAGAGGTGTGGAATAGGGCCAACTGCTAGGATTTCGAGTTGCCTTCCCACCATCAGGACCTCATCTGGACTCTCCTTTCATAGGGAATCACCAGAACTCAGAAAGTCAGGGCCCTCCCCTGACTGCACACCCTCCCTTCTCCATACCATGACAAAGATTCAGGGAGGATAGATTCTGCACCCCCCTCCCCCCATGCAAGACTCAGTTGCCCCTCTCCAGCTCCCACTTCACCTCCCCAACCAGCTGGGAGAGCTCAGCAGTCCAGGAAACAAAAACTTCCCACGCCACCCCACAGCGAGTGCCATGCCCTCTCCACGACTCTTTGCACTCACCCAACCACTTGCTCCTTGATCCTGACTGGGATGTGTGCATAGCGGGGCTCGGGGACAAGACCTGGCAGTTCTGGCCTGGGGAGGCCCTGCAGGGGCGTCCACGGGGCAAGAGGTGCCCGGAGGCCCGGCGCTTCCCGGGTGCTCGCGTACAGGAGCCCCAGCGAGGCACAGGCGAGCAGCACGACCAGCACACAGAGGGCCCGGCGGCCCAACCGCATCCTGAGTGGGCGGTAGGGTGGGGGAGTGAGAAAGATGGGGAGGGAAGGCTCCTGCCTGCCCCCCGGGTGCTCTCCAGGATTTGCACAGCGAATCGGTCCCCTGGTCCCCCTCCCCTCACTTCCCGGGCCTCGGGTCTCCTGGCTTCCTTTCTTGTCGCCCTCTCCCGCGTCTCGCTTTCCTCTCACGCCCGAGGCCCGGCATCTTGAAGCAAGAGACCTTTGGATGTGGTGATTTCGACGCGGTGGCTCGTAAGTAGAGGAGCATCGCTTTATTAGAACATCAGACGTCCCCGAGCCCGCCGCCTCCTCTGGCCCGCGCATCCCCCAACCCCTGAGGCGGAGCATCACCTGGCCCCGAGTGGGCTGCAGAGGGCAGCGCCACACCTTGCCTGTCACGAAAATGCAGAATCACGCCCGCGCTACTGAGTGGCCCCGGCGGAGGTGACACCGTGAGTGGCCCTGGGAAGCTGTGCGGGGGACAAGGTGGACCGGCGAGCGCGCCTTCTCCCGCCTCCAGCTCGGCCCCGCATCCCGCCCCGGCACTGACCTGTCTAACGCTCCAAGGCCGCCGCAAGATTTCGGTCCAGGCTGCGCCAGGCTCTCAGCCCCGGCCCGGGGGTCCTCATGGGGCTGGAGGTGGCCTGACGAGGAGCAGGGCGTGAGCCTGAGAGCGAGGGGGATCCTCCTGCCTCCGGAGCACGCCTGACCCCTCCCGCCTTCGGGATCGCTGGGCTTTGTAGATCGCGGCTCTAGGGTGGTTCTGGGCGTTTCCTGCGGGGGTGGGGGGCGGAGTCGAGAAACCGCCACACTCCGACCCCAGGAACAAAGCCGAGGCTCCCCCGCACCCTGTCCCACTTGCCGGGCCCGGAGGTCTCGGGCCGCCGCCCGGCTCTTCAGATCGCGGCGCCGCGCGGGGAGGCTCCGGCCGTGGTTGCGGCGGAGGCCGT